GGGATTTGGGGAAAGAGGCAAGCAACTATTGGAGGAACGGCAATTAGGTGAGCAATATATATATATACACATGTTCCTAAACATGTGCGAAAAATTTGGAGGGGCGGGCAGAGGAGGGGTGATTTCTTCGATTATGAACTTTTTTTAAAGAAATTATATCCAAGAAATCAACTCCCGTTCGTATATGTTTAGGAGCATCCTACAGGAAAAATCGAAAGCATAGGGATATAAAATAAGAATTTGCAGTTTGTAAATTTCTTTTACCAACCCGCTTATAGTGCTGCGTGCATTGGTGAATAACGCGGGGGTGATGGTGTTCGGCGAGTTCGAGTGGCAGACGCAAGATCTCACAGAGTATCAAATAAATGTCAATCTCTTGGGAACGATGAGAATCACCCGGGAACTGATGCCGATCATACGGCAGAACGGCAGCAGAATTATCGTTGTGTCCAGCCACTGCGCTGCCGATCCTTTGCCGGGTATAAGTATCTACGCGGCGACGAAAGCCGCCCTTCACGCGTGGACCACAGCTCTTCGGGTAGAAGTCGGCAAATATGGCGTCAATGTAGTTGATTTTATACCTGGTCAGTGTAAAACATACTCAAGATTATATGTATAACTTTATTTGCATTGAGAACAAAAAGCTATTTGATTGCGCAAAATCAGCGCCCGGACGAAGAGAGAGACAGAGAGAGAGCTTTCATGAACAAATTTATTTTACAAAATATGGGTAAACACCCTGATTTATTTCATAAATACTACATATTAAATAAAAATTGGATTTCTTGAAAATATTTTTTATTTTATCGATCCAAGTTTTTCTTTCTTCTCTTATTACGGTTCTTGCTTTCGACGACAAGATTATTCCAAAATATAAAAAAATCAGAAAAAAATTGAATAAAATTCTCTCTCTCTCTCTTTGTGCAATAGGTGGTTTTATATCAGAAAGTAATATCATGAGGCGGCAACGATTGTTCTTTGACGAAATGGAACAACACATGTCGGATGAAACGAAGCGATTTTATGGCAACTATTTCACTCGATACGCCGAGTATTTTTCCCAGGCAGGCCTGTCGTCTGGCAATCAAGACAATATAACAGTTCTGTCGAATCCGAGAATCTACGAAACCTTCGATAGCGCTCTTCTCGATGTCTGTCCTTCGGCGATTTACAGGTAGTGATCTTATTATTTTTTTACATTATTATACTAATGAAATTATTGTGCAAATGATCAAATAATAAAATTGCTTCATTGTATCGGCGTCAAAAATGTTTGAGATATGTTTCATAGATAATCTCTATTGTGTGTACTTCCTTTTTTAAAGATTTATAATTTGCTATTATAAATTTTAAAAAATGCAGGTAAACTTAGCCATCGTTTTTGTGCCGATTATATACATTAAGATAATGATAAATTTATTATTTTCAGATGCGAACCATGGAGATATTTCTTTTATCGGATATTGTTTAAAAGCACACCGACGTGCATACGTGATCGATTGGTACAATGTTTCGTCAATGCACCATCGTGGCAGACCAACAAACAATAAATCATTGTTATTATCTTATTAAATAATTTTTACTTTTTCAAAGTCCAATGTTTTCTCTTGCGTTCCGCTCAAGAGAAGAATATAGTGTTCCAGTTTAAAAAGCTGGAGAGAGATGATATTTATATAATTCGATACACACACATAAATAAAATGGGAATAATAATTAAAACATATTTGTACCCTCTTTTCTTATCCTCGAAATCGATTTCTGTTGCATATATTTTCTCGAAAGAATAATTTTATAAAGTCGTCAAGTTAGTCAATCTGTATTGTCTTGTACCCCGTAGCTGTTTAATAGTTGTAATGTAGTTCTATAAAACCGTTACATTTATCAAAATCAATAATTACTTTATTGCTAACAAATTATTTGAGCCATTCAAATGCGCAATACTACTTTGTGTGCTGACTGATAAAATTTCCGTAAACTTGCAACATTATTGACACAGGTGTCTGCTATCGAGCTTTCGATAGGTTTTTCATTCGTTGAATGAGCTTATCAGATTTTAGGTCAACCAGGTGTTCGATTAGATATTATCGGGCGAATAAATAGCCGCCTCTCGCCGACCGAAAATCACATCGATTGTCATTTCTCTCGGAGGACGCCACCATGAAGGCTTTCGTCTTTGGTAAATCTTGTCGTTAATTTTTATTTTCTGATAGATACACGAGTCTCTGAAAATTATAGTATATTTGACTGTTGTATGTTGACGTATGTGCAGCTTGTATAATCGCTGCATTCTGCGTCGCGGCATCCCTGCAGAGCACCCCGCATTATCCATGCGATGACGGACCTCTACCTTTGGAATTAAGGATAGAGGGATGTGACGGTTCTCCTTGCATCATCTACAAGGGGACTAACTTGACCGCGCAGTGGGACTTTGTCGCTAGTAAGTAATGTTAGTGCGTAGATTAAAAATGTGTGTGTACATATATAAAGTAAAAAAGATTATAGTGTTAAATTCTCATAAATGTCAGGTTTGCATTAGAAACGGTATGGTTATATGAGAAACGAAAAGTGGCAATTTGATAGTGAAAATTAAGCGAAAGTATTTTCTTTTGTGTACGTTCGATTTGATATACATACACTCACACTTGAATATATCCATCCATTGGTTGTTGTCCGGCAATATATCCATCCTTCCTGGCATCTCCATTTTCAACGTAGCGAGAAAGATCAGCCGGCCTTTTACCATACGCTTACGTTTTATTGTACAGATGCCGATGCGAAATCGCTTGTACCGCGAGTAATGGTTACGGTCATGGGTGCCAAGATACCATATCCATATCCCGAGCAGGATGCCTGCAAGTCCCTGATAAATGGCGAATGCCCATTGAAGAAGGACGCAGAGGTCACGTACAATCTCGAGATGCCGATATCTAAGACATATCCGACTGTGACTATAAACATCGAATTCAGCCTAGTTGACGAGAACAAAAATGTACAGGTGTGCTTCAATGTGGATGTGAAGGTGACCAATAAATAGGTTTCTTTCTCGTCGAAATTGTGATAAGGCGTATGATAATAAAATATAAACGAAGTAATTTTGTCCACTATTTTTTTGCTACAATGTGCCCATATTATCAAATATCGAATGTATAATATAATGAAATTTTGTATTTTATGTCCGATGAGACATATATGATCGATATAGAATTGAGCTTTAAGATATATATGTATATCGCAAGATTCTATTTTTCAAGATTCAAGAAAATAAATTAAAATGTAGTTAAATGCCTGATTTGACTCGAAACTGTTGATAGCAATTTCAATCTGATATTATAATCCGATAAACCAATAACGAAATGATTAAATCACACATAGGCGGCTGTATTTCTACGCTCATAAATCTTTTATATAATAAAATCGTTCAGCAATGTCGAATCAAAGATTTAATAAGATAACTCGCCAAATAAATTTTTCTTCAAGGTGATCAAACGAAAGTAATATGTGGCAGACGATGTAGCAATGATTAATCGACAGGATTACGATAAACTTGTTGAAAGCTGATAACTATTATATGTAATAATTTTAATCGCGAGTTTCGTAATGAATATTGAAGTAATTTATTAAAATCAAATTACGCGCGACTAATGTCACGTTATGTGGTAATATTTCTAGCGCTATATTCACACATAAGATCGTCGTCAGAGAGAGTTTCACATAAAATATAAAAAAAAAAAACGATACATTTTTCTCTCTTGGCGAATAATATATGTTGCCGTATCCTCCAATATAGAATAATCCTAGTAAGTAAACTGTTGGATATTTATTGGCAATTTGACAGCAGATTCGATCAGAATATATATATATCGCGCAAAAAAATTTAACTATACTCGCATTATGAGCTCCCGTTTAAATTGATAGCAGGAACCGAGCAGATCGTATTCTGTTAGCGGATCTCGCTAATAAAGATTTCTGCTGATATTTTGCTAACAAAATATTTTGTAGCGGACATTTTGCAAAATCTGTTCTAGGCTTGGCTGTATACGAGCTGATGTTGATTCAAAAGATTATCTCAAGTATCATTTTAAATATCTAGAGATAGCCCTCTTCGAAAGAATGTGAAAGTATATTTTGCACAAATTAGATATCAGATCGTTTTAATATCAGATATCTACACGTGTCGCAGGTTACGAAATAGTATCTGTGTATATATGTGAGAAATTTTGAAACTGCGGGGCGTAGACCGCGCTACGTCCCCGCGCGAGAAAGAGAAAGAAAGTAAGAGAGAGCGAGACGAGGCGAGAGTAGGGGACACCACATGTTGCGTCTTGCGTCGGCGGACGCGAATCGACGCCACATTCACGGCGATAACGCAGGTAAGATGGCGGACGCGAGGGAAAATTAGCGGCACGCGCGTCGCAGTATCGTCGCAAATCATCGTCCGGACAGAGTGAAAGGGATCGCCGTCGCGGCGATCGCGAGATCACGCCGTAAGCTCGTGAGATTCCCCGCCGATAGTAGTATTACGCGAGGAAGCGCGTCGCGCCGTGACGTCACCGCGCGCGTCGTTCGCTCTCTCCTTTTGTCCCACCTGTTTTTCCCTCCCCCCTTCAACATCGCGCGTACCGTGTGTGTGTGCGCGCGCGCGCGCGGTTGTGTATGCGTGTCATCTCCCTCTTTCGTTCGACGGGCGTTCGCTCGTTGGAGGTCGCGCGGGAGCGGTTCGTTCGTTTGTTTCGTTCGCAGAGCGAGCGAAGTGAGTCGAGTTGCACGCGATCGTTTCGCGCGTGTGTACAAACGGTGAGATTATAACGGGTGTGCTCTCTCTTACGCGGTATAGTGTACGGAAGACATCGTTGAAAAGACATCGGGCGCGGTGTGAGTGCAACACGCGGCGCGACGCGCGCAGCAGGTAGCCGGAGGAACGTCAGGTCGCGGACAGCCCGAGCGCCACCGGCTTGTTGTCAAGATGGCGTCCAAGGGGAAGCTAGACACCGAGGTCAGTACTCTTTCCTCGTGTTCGGTTTTTCCTCTCCCTCCCCTCCCTCGGGAGAGGAGAGGTGACCCGAACCGCGCCTGGGAAACATCGAGCATGTCGCGGACGTTGAGCGACGTTCCGAACGTTGGCCGCATCACGGATTTTTTTTTGCCGCGGTTGTGACGGAGGTTCCCCTGGAACAACGATCGTATTTCGTGGAACCGACGTCGATTCGATCGTCATTTCGTGACTCGTCGCGACGCCATACGTCGCTCACGTCGTCGTCCACGCAGGAACGTCGCTTTGTCCGGAATAACCACGCCCTCCCTGCCTCGATAAATCCGTCCGTTAAATCGCTCACGGAGTAATCGGTATTTCCCGCGTTAAATCTCGCGATATCTCTAATATACCTAGTGATGGAAAAAATCAAGATGCTTCGAAATAGTACGAAAATTTTTTGGTCTTGAAATATCTTGAAAAGTTATGAATATTTTAATAAATTTTAGAGAGAGAAAGTAAAAGACAGTATTGGGATATTATAAATAAATATAACACGTCAATGTTTTAAATTTTATTTTAAGAATTATTTATTAGTTATGTAGAAACATAACATTTATATAAGAGATTGAAATGATGAATCACTTAAGAATTCAAGATCTATCAAGATTTTCAAGATTGTATAACTTTGAATAATATTCGAAATGTTTCGAAATACAGAGCAATGACTTCATTAATTGAAAATTTGCAAGAAATTTAAATGAATACTCATCACTATCTATACTTGCTTGTTTTTAATTAAAACATAAAATAAAGATTTTTTTTTTTTTTAAATATATGATAGAGAATTTAATACTAACAGTCGATTCGTCGTGATAAGGTTAACAAAAATAGAAATTTCTACGCCTGGTAATCAATATTGGATTATTGTGTCAGATATTACGATGAATTTTGGTTCAGCGACATGTGTATCAATTGCTTCTCTTACAATTAGTCTCCCCTTCTATATGCGTAGCTGTGTAGGGCTATAAATTACGCAATATATTCACGATATACGAAGCGACAAAGAGGAATGTGAATGAAAAATGTGTGTGTCTTACAGATAATTCTGTTGAACTTTTTACTCAATTTAAGCAACATATATCTTGGAAAATGTAAATATAACGGTACAGGTGTCACTGAACGGCGTGACTCACGACAGTTACAATCATTATCGAAGATAGAAATCATGGTATGATTATGGCGGATTTATGAACTGTTCACACACAGCACATGCGTTTGAAAATATCGGTATTCACAAAGATAAAAATGGAATAAGTCTTGAAAATTTATGGATGTTTACACAATATTTAAATTTTCACAATGATAGGAAATTGATAAATAATCTACATAGATACGTAATAGAAAATAATAAGAGAAAGGCGGATTTTTGGAATATTTTTCCTATGGTACATGTATATCGCGGCTATATATAAAAACCTTTAATTTATAAATTCTCAAACTATTTCTGCTGACTTGCGTATTAAATCACATATATTATCCGGTCATCGGAAAGAATACGCGCTTCTTCAAATAGATTGACCGCTCGATTGGCGCGATGAACGTTCAAACGATATAAAAGGCCAAGAATATTTTCTCGGGCATATTTATGCGAGCGACAGAAATATCTTTCTCTCTCTCTCTCTCTCTCTCTCTTTGTCTCTCCTTCTCCCTCCTTTCTCGGCATCGATATCCTCTCGTTAGGCAAATATTATTCGCTATTATCGAGAACGATCTTGCTATAGTAGTTCGAAACGATATTTGTGGAGGAGCCTTTTAAATGATTTACTCTGACGCGAAATCTTTTAATCGTCGCGATACGTCATCGTCATACGACACTGATCTATGTACGATTTTACGGAGAGCGCGTAACTATTTCTGTAAAATAAAATCACGTGATGTCGAGAGATAAGGCTTCTCGATTGTCGGAGATGGACGGAGGAGAAAGCGAGCGCGTGTGATGATTATCTCTTTTGAGAAAAAAACACACACGTGACATTGACTATACGGACGCGATGCGTGTGTCACTTTGTGAGTAATTAGTATGCGAGTGTTTCGAGAAATTTTCCTCGACCGATCGAGTAGTCTAGAACGTTCCAATGTGCACGTGGTATTGCGTAATCGAAGGGTTCGGGCCTCGTGGTGAATTCAACTCGCTTTTTCTTCAATGAAATTAATCGAAATATTTAGTCTTTTTTATTTTGAACGAAGTATATTTTTACGGCGGCTAGAATGGTATTTAAATGGTCCATGAATCATTTAATCTTCTTATTTAAACAACGTTAATTATTCGCTGTCTAGTTTTATTTTAAGTATGATTCATTCGTTTCTTCACGTTCGCATTTAAATAACCAGTCAAGATTCTAAAAAAATTAATTACCTATAACCTGTTTAGTTACTATGGACTGTGCGAATATTTATATAACGCAATTCTTTTTATATAGATTAATGAATTCCACTTTTTTTATCACTTTTAAATGTTGCTTAATCTTATGTAATCGTACATTTTATTTTGACAAAAATATGGAATATCCGAACACACACATGTTGCGCTACATGTCGCTACGTTAACGTAATTATAAAATTTGCGTAGGTTGCATATCTCGTGTCAAGCAACTTGGCCAACTGCATGCGAGATGCGGTTTCGCGCAACTCTGTGTCCGTGCGAGATATACTACATATTATCGCGGTTATACATTCCTCGAATATTCCATCTTTACCGGAAATCGTAACTTCTCTCGAAGCGTGAAGCGATATGATAGGACAGTGTTATTTGCGGTATTTCGCCACACATTGTGTATGCAGCCCGCGCATATCTCCGCTTTGTGACACGAATACGCGCCGTGTACATAATTTTGAATCGATGAACTTCCGTTGTTCGCGTGTAATTTCTCCATTTTCTTTCTCCCGCCATACCGATAATTTCTCCGTACATCCGCGCGCTGCAACGGATGTAAATCTCGATTTTTAATTCTGACTTTGACGTTTCAAGCGCTTTGAAACACGAGGAGAAGCGAGTGGAATTATATATACGGGTGCCCTAGAAATCGCGAGTTAACTTCTAATTTTATCGATTCTTTGGCAAACTTTGAGCCAATTTTTTTTTTACGATGGTTTGTACGTATAATCTTCACACACACACACACACATGCAAGTACTTAGTTTTCAACTTTAGTATCTTGAAGTCTTAAAGTAAGATATACTCTTGAAATTAAATCAAGCATAAAATTTCGTTACCAAACTCTATTATTTCTGAAGTTTATACATCAGAATCTTTCAACTTTCCGTCGATTATAGTTTGAGAAGCGTCCGTATTTAGATATTATCGTTCCTTCTGTACGTGTGTGTGTGTCTCGATTTCCAGAAATAATATTTGAAAAAGAAAGCGGAAACGACCTGAATATGATTACGTGCGTGTATCGCGCATATAGAAGGCCTGTGCTATCAATAGACTACGTCACAGTTTTGAAACGGATGCGATTAAGATTCGGTGAACGTGAGACGAGAGACATTCCACAAAATTCGACGGGAATGTGAGAAAAACAAAAGAAAAAAAAAAAAAAAAAAAAAAAAAAAAAAAAACAATTTGCCAATAAACTCGAAATCGTACATCTCGTGAATTTCCGGTGCGGATTTGTGTCAAGGTCACGACCAGTCGAGAACGGAGAGGGAGAAATCCACGGGAGTATATGCAGCCCATGGCGGCCATATCATAAACTCGTTTCCCCTTCCCACCGATGACGGGACTCTCGCCGTTGCGTTGGTACATACTATTGAACACATAGTGGATTGTAACCGAACGATATATAGGATAAACACATCGCAACGTCGGCAGCTTTAAGTAACTTGATATACGCTATCGTACAGGAATTCGATATCGCGTTTGCCTTGCGACTTTTATGTTCTCGTAAATATATTTGAGAGAAAATTAAGTGATTAGAATTATGTTCGCGCAAATAGGTTGAGATAAAGGATTATAGAGTTAATTTTTAATCGATTCTAACGTATCACTTTGAATTTTTTATCATAAAATAAAAGGTGCGAGCAGTATCGTTTTTTTTTCTTTCTATTCTCATATAATTGCGATATTAATAGATTTTAATAGAAGTTTAATTCTGATACTAGAATAATATTTCACATTTGAAAATTGCGAAGACAAGGACGGCATTTTAATAAAATTTTCAGCAAAGAAGCGATAAAATTCACTTTGCAATATATAGCAATTAAAAATGTTAAATAAATTTTAACATTTGTAAATGCATCTCAAAATATCACAACATTGACATTTAATCTTTTTATTGTTTTCTCTTTCATTACAAATTTGAAAAGAAAATAACATTTTCAATATCTCCAAATTTTGTGTATCTTTTGGACGTCCGTGTATCGCATATGCTAATTTTCCCGAAGACCGCACACATCAGCTGAAAAATTATTGGACGCACCCTTCGACGATCGATCGCGAGCTCGTCATGACCAGGTCGAGTCGTTTTGCCCATCTGCAGCAAGATGGCGGCACGCGGCGCGTAAACCGCATCAGAAATTTTATATGTCGATTTATTATAGATTTAGATGTGTGCGAGTCAATTTGCTGGCAATTCATGCTCGCCTCCTTTCGATCACTAAAAAACGATAAAATATAACTGCGATAGAGAAACTAACAATTTTTGAAGGAATGGAATTAACTAGTGCATAGGCGCGTATACACAGTAGAAAATAATTATATGAAAAAAATTATGGAGCGATGATAAAATGTAGTTGAGAAAAAGATAGATGAAAGGTTTCATGTTTATCAAAAAACAGCGTTGTGATATTTTTGTTATTCAGAGATAAAATATAAAGGGCACAAATAAGAATATTTATTTCTTTTTATCTTTGCATTACATAAAATATTTATATATCGGTTATTTTATGTGTTTGTGAGAATTGAATTTTCTCTCTTATATTATTTCTTGAAATATTTTTTTTAGATAACATAATCTAATTCG